GATCAGCCAGAAATGCCATGCAGCACATGATTTTGCACGCGCAAAGTGTTGATTAGAAGATGCTTTCAAAGAACTGGCCAACAGAAACAAGAGTAATTAACATTCAGTGGGGTGGAGAAATTCTGATTCTCCTGATATAGTTGGACTACAAATCCCAGCATTCCCCACCATTAGCTACAGATAATGGGAGATGCAGTCCAACACCTAAAGAGCTGTACTTTAGATTCAGGGGGGCAGGTGGGAGTGAAGCTCCCAAATGTGACAGTCTAGTGATAAGGAAAAAAAAAAAGAAAAAAGAGAAGAGAAGAAAAGAAAAGAAAAGATCAGCAAAAACTATATCACAGATGGGGCGGTGGAAGGAAGTCCTGATCCTGGTGAGTGATAACTGAGAATCCCAGCATCAAATCCTTATCTTCAAAGGTTTAGCCATGGCTCAGGAAATGTTATCTGGGGTCCATTGTCTGGCCCTGAACCTTTCAGCCAAAACTATATCACAGATGGGGTGGTGGAAGGGGGGAAGTCCTGATCCTAGTGAGTGATAACTGGGAATCCCAGCATCAAATCCTTATCTTGAAAGGTTTAGCCATGGCTCAGGAAATGTCATCTGGGGTCCATTGTCTGGCCCTGAACCTATTTGTTTCGAGCATCATACCTTCTGTTTGATCCAGGCTTCTAGCTGCTCAGCTTTCTGGTTGAAGTCTTGGAGATTCCTGAGGCTACCTACTGCTTTATTCTGATTTACTGCCATTTGCTTCAGCAGTTGCCATTGTTCTCCCAGGGTCTGGAGACGCTTCGCTATTTCTGTGCTGGGGTTTGGCTGGATCATGAGCTGCTCACCCATCTGTGGTGTGGATGGAGAAGAAACACACTGGAGATGTCAGAGCCACAATCACCCTATCTTGCTGCAGCACTGATTCCCAGAGACACTCTAAGCAGGGCATAAAGTGGAGGAAATGTGAAGATGCATTTGAAGGCAGTTGTTTTTCTCACAATAGAGAAAAGAGCAAGGGTGAACTGAAATCAGGTCTCTTTTCATAGTACTGCAACCTACAGGACTAAAGCTTGATGTGGATGGTCCAGAGAACTTGTTATACCTGGTTTAGTTTGATCACAGTATTCTCAAAGTCCTTCATGTCTCTTTGCAAGGTCTGGGCTTCCCGTTCCCATTCCTGAATACTGGAACCATCCTTTAGGTCTCTGAGTTTTCCTCGCACCCATTTCTCTGCCTGAAACAGAGAAAAATACATCAAAACTGGAGAATGGAGGAGTAGCTGAGAAGATTATAATTATGGAGGAGAACACTGGGCAGGATGAATAAGATGTCCACTCTGATAAGGCAATTATAAAGCTAAATAGAGTAGCAGGAGTGAAGAACCTGTGCTCCTTGATGTTCTTAGATGCTAAATCCCATCAGCCACAGTCTAGTGAATGGTCATGGATGATGCGAGCTGGCATCTCCCAACTTCTAGAAGGCCATAGGTTCCCACATATCACATAAAATAGTATAATTCAATGTATTAATCTAGCACTATAGTATTTAATCCAGCAGCTTCTATAGAACTCTATTAGCACAATGCTGATCTGATACAAAAATTGCACAACTTTTGATGGATCAGGAATATCTGCTTTACATGTGTTAATTTCCATGGGGGGAAAATCTGAATGTCCTCTATAGGGCCCCTGATCTACAGATTCCCTATGAGAGACTAATAGATTTGTCTTTCACACATCTGACAAGGAATTTAAATGTGGTCTCAGAATATATTGTACCTTGTTTATATTAAATTAATTCTTAGTTCCTGGATACACTTTGGTATTTTGACTTCTAAGTTCAAAAATTAATCCTTTTCTTCCTTAAAAGATTTATTTAACAAGCAAGCAATTCAGTAAATAAGAGCCAAAAAGGTAAAATATACTTGGAATATATATAAAAACTACATGAGTTGCAAAAATCACAGTCCTCTAATACAAAACTTTCTAGTTCATATATGTAGATATGCAGATGGTATTTCTTCCATATAAAATCTTGGTATAAATAATGAACTTCTGCTTAAACAGTATAAAACCTAAGCTCAGTAATTCAAAAGGATACAAGAGAAAAACTATTTCCCTTTAGTAAAAGGCTATTTCTTAACAAAAACCTATCAATTAGATAAAACTCTCATACAATAATTTAAACATCTCTATTGTAATACATATTTATAAAAAAAAAACCAAATTGAGCATAGTAAATAATTCACAACCCAATAAATAATTCTCACCCACTTTCCAGCAGAGATTTCTCCCGTTTGCAAAAACAGGTATCTGTATCCTTAGGGAGCTCTTCCGTAAACATGCTAGAAATCTCTGTTTATATACTTTATACACTTTTGATGTTTTGGCTTTTGTCAAAACATTATGATGTAGAACTTTGGTTTTCCTGTGGACAAGCAACATCTTTAGGTAGCTATCTGCTGGTACACAGACCAGCTATACCAGCTGAGCCATAAAGCTGCCCTCACTTGGAGCAGCTTCCTTAGCACCATACATAATGAATAACAATTTCCTGCTTTTTACATTTTCTATATTCCCCATTTAAACCTCATTTTATTTTTTTCTTGCCATATAATTTCCCCCAAGCCTGTAACTGACACATATAGAAGACAAAGTGGCCATACTGGAAGTGGATTCTGGGAGATGTCATCCAAACGGTTACTTTCCTAAGCTCTTTTTTTTAATGATGTGCTGCTTAAGTGGGAGCTATTAGTATCAGCCAAGTAGTGGCAAGCAGATAATCAAACAAATCAGTATAGACAGCACAAAAGCCCAGTCTGTGCCCTTGACTGCTCAGGTTGAAGAGCCTGGAAAGAATCTGCAGCTGCACAAGAGCAGGTGCAACACAAGAGAAGGACAGCAGCTCCTGCTATCATTGAGGTACAGACAGTATAACAGAATGATGGATTCTGTATTTTACAGAAGCAAGTGCCAGTTACTTCACATGGCAAGGACTAATAGAACTTGAATTCAAATGCTTTCAAAAACTCTATACATATATTTTTAAGAACTGCTGCCTAGCCCAACCTGCCTAAAACTGAGCCTGTTTATCTGTATTCCCTCCTTCCCCTCAAATAAAAAAAAGGGGGGAAATCAGGATTTTGTGCATTGACCTACAATCCTTTGGTCATTCATTCTAACGAGAGCCTGCCAAGGATGACCTCATGCCATAACAACAGCCTGCCTCTCTCGCCAAAGAACCTTGTCTCCTTCCGCTAGCACGTTCCTCTCACTCTAATAGAGGAAAGCACTTTGGCAATGAAAACATGGCTCTAAGGTTCCATGCTCTTGCAGCTTCTGGAAAGCAGAGCAGAACTTGCCCTTTCATCGTCTTGTACCACAGAAGCAACTTCTGTCTTTGCCAAGTTCTTCCTTTACCTGTACCATGTCACAGTTGAACTGAGTTATGACAGGGCTCCATCTGGAAAGCTCAGCCAGCCCGGTACTGCTCTGGATGCAATGTTTCACCCCTACCAGCCTGCTTGCCTGGGTATTCTTGACACTCTCTTTCCATGAAGTTGTAGTAGTACAGCTTGCAATCTAAAGCAGAATGAGAAACAGAAAGGATGAATTGAATTTGCCCTGAGGACATAAAAGGAAAGCAGCTACATCCCAATCAAATATCACTTGAAAAAGAGATAGTGTAGAGTCAAACTAGTTAGTAGACTGTTAGAATCAGAATATCTTTTAACTCTTTGTCGTAGTACAAACTTTTCATATCTTCCACATCTTGCAAATCAGCTTGCTTTTTTGTGATTGGTCATTTGGATGTAAGCATGGACTCAATTTGCAAGTCTGATTGCTCAGGCACAAGGTTCTCAGGGAATTCACATTGTTATTATTTTATTTGCTACATTTCTACAAAGCTTGAATTCTCCTCAGTTCAGTTTCACAACCACCCTATGAGGTGGGGCAAGTTGCAAAAGAGTGAATTGTCCACATGCACCTAATGAATTTCTTGGCAGAGTAGAGACAAGAACCCAGACCTTGACAAGTCCTAGTTCAACTACATCTCCACCTTGCCTTACCAACATAACACATTGTCACTATGTGGTAGGGCCACAATCTCTATCCCACTGTACATGGCACTCAATGTAACCAATGTATCTTTAGGGTGGTATGTAAATGTGTTATTTCCAGTTCTGCCTGCAACACTACCATACAGCATTAGGTGCTGATGGCTGTTAACAGTATAGCTCTGCTGGACCATCCAAACACAGTAGTGGAGTTGTAAGCTGTGGGGTAACAGGCCACAACAGCACTGGTCATGAAGCTGTATTTGTTCAGCAGTCATTGTGCCAGGCAGGAGTGACATCAAATGATAAGCTGTTCCCATTTTTACCAGTTCAAGAATGGATGAACCAGAAAACAACAATCCCACAAAAGAGGGTAACCAATGAGATAGTAACTTATTCAAGGAATTCAACAGCTTCATCGCTAAGTGGGACTTCAGAACCACATCTCCCTGACCCACACCTAAGGACTATCGATACATTATATACAAATGAATGCAGCCAAGTTACCTCTCTCTCTCCCTCTCTCTCTAATGAAAAGCAGTTCCCAGGAAGGGAAGAAACTGAGTGGGAAGAGGGTGCTTAAAAATTTTCCCCACCCAACATTCCTCTACTTCAAATCATCCTCTCACTGCATGCCTGCTCCTGCCATGTTCAAAAGCACACTTGTCCTAATAATATTTCAGCACTTATCCCCAATGTTCTCTGAATTCTTTTACAGTATTTCTATTGTGTTTTTCATTTAAAAAAAGTTCAGGCTTGGTTAACATGAATATTCATTATACATTTATATACATATATTTTCAACATTAATCTGTGCATATATGTACATAATGAATATTCATGTAACTAAGTCTAAATTTAGCTCCTAATAACAATCCTGGCTACTGTCCAAAATGGTTCGAGTTGTTCTGTTGATCTCTCCACAGTTTATTTCCAGTGTACATTTGCAGTCAACGTAGCTGCTTGGCTGAGCAACTATCCATCTACCAAAACAAGTATGACCCACATGGAGGCATAATGAAATGGCAAAGAAGGACATTAGGTTATGCCTGCCTCATTTGCAGAGTGCGTTTGTACTCCTTTCAGTTGTTAACTTGACCATCCACAGCCCCTTCATGACCAGATGAGGGACAACTTTCTTTGGTCTGCTATACAAGTTGCAGAGATATAATTCAACATTGTTCTTGATTGTCCCACTGTGTATTGGCTAAGAAAGGACCTATTTAAATATAGGGAGGAACATATTCTAAAATGAGAACTTTCTCCATGTTTCACTTCATTCTGGCTTCCTGAAGTTCAAAGCTTTCAACCCATTGATGACAGATAGGGTCAAATGTTGATACACTGTGGCAGTGTAAATTAAACATGGTTTTAATTTAAACCTGGTTTATGAGTCAGTGGTCACAATTCAATGGTTTGGATATTCCACAATCACAAAAAGCTGTTAATTGTCATGTGGTGCTTCAAGGCCACCACCAACTTAGTGAAAAAAGAATTTTTTAGCTCTAGTTTGGAGTCAGTTTTGCCCTTACTGGATTGACTGAGAAAATAAAAACAACATAATCACGCAAAGGTTCTACATTTTAATGATACTTTGTAGATTTACAGATGCTTAGCTCAAATCCTATTATTTTCATTTCTTGTGAAAGAAGAATGATGGGGAAAAAACCTGAATTTTGTCTTTATTTACAATGACAAATTGATTGCTTTCATAGCATGACTTCAAATCATATAACAGTCAACCATAACTCAAGTTTCCACAGATTACTCTCCACAAACTTGGTTTCCTTAAAAACATTTCACTCCAATTAGAAACAAAGTTAATTTTATTTAAATATAATTTTCAAAATCCCAGAGCTTCCCATGTAGAACTCTTCCGTTAAAAGAAACTATCACTCTACTAGAAGGACAACTACTACTTTATATGTGACAGGGCCACATAAACAGGGCACCCCTTACTATGTCATGCTATGGTTAAGCTTTAAGAATAATGTTCCAAGCAGAGAAGTTCCCCATTGCTATGCTGAAGGCGGAGCTCTTGCTCATTTGCCTTTGCTCTTGCTTCTTGGCAAACTTCTGTTCCATGACAACAACTGTCTCTCACATCATGGCATAAGAATGTGGCCCATCTGAGCTCCCTGACCAATTTTTCACTCAATTTATTCTGCCAACCAATTGTCTATTCAACTAGCTTGGTCCCACTGAAATCACTCAGTGATTTTGTATTCTCCATTCACTAGAAGAATCCAAGTTATAAAGAGTGAATGGACCATTTAATTCAGGATATATGTGGTCCAATACTTGTGTCAAGGTACCAGATAAAATCCCTCCGAAACCCTTTCCTTGCATTGCTAATTGAGATCCTTTAATGCAAGGTGCTAGAGATCAAGCCTAAGATCTTAAGCAAAATGCACAACCCAGAAGAGGGTGTGGGTGTAGGGAGGGGGACAGCTTTAGCTTCATCTTACACTTTGATCCTGTTCTATTGCATACTCCCTCAGGACTAGGAGATAGCAAACTTACATTTCTCTTAAACTCCTACCTCTCATAAATAAGGGCTGATGAACAAATGTAATTTTGCTTGCCTCCCTTACAAATGAGCTCAGCCTCTGCTCCTCAACGGCTGCCTAGAGACACTTATTTTAAGCAACTCATCCAGTGGGAGAAACTCTGAATCTCTTCCAACCTTTGTTCTTGTGGTCAGCAATGATGTCATGTTTTGTCACCATTCCAAGATAGCTAAGGTCAGCCAGTTACAGAAGTGGCTTCCTTCCAAGCGCAGCCAAGGTCCAGCTGCAAACTACCATGGAGGGCTAAATTTGTAAACACCGTATCTCAAATCCCACTCAGGAAGGGAGATCATTACTGGCTGCTCTTAATGGTAGAGCATGGAACAAGAAGCTTTACACTGACAGCACACATTCGATAAATCATTTTCAAATAAGACTAAGTGGAAGAGGTATAAGTCAGTGAGGAAGAACTCAGAACATGCTGAACATGACACAGAAGTGTGATGAATTTAAGATTACTGCACGGATATATATATCACTTCCCAAGTGCTAGTGATTTTGTGTGAAAACAAGTTCATGTGAGGGTCACATCTACACCACAAAATCATTTCAAGACACAGTCATGTTCAGCTTCAGCTCTCATAAATTTCTAGAGATTAGAGTTCTCTGAAGGCTAATGGGATTTTTTTGGAAAAGGAGCAGAAAATATCTAGAAGACATTTCTTATCACCTTTAGAAGAACATGGGAATGTTCAGCACTTTCAAGCTGGTTGTAATCTATTCAAAGGTGTCCATAAGTGAATACTGAATCAAGTCAGAAGCTTGATTTTGGAGAGTTGTCATAGCCAGAACATGTCACATTGAGCAGAAAAGGTTCATAGAGAATACGAAGTTGCACAGGACTGCTAGCAAAGCCACCTCTCTGCAATGGACAAGGATCTCACTATCTAGACTGGGACTGCTAAGTCCAATATCCTCACAAACTAGCTCCTGTTGAACCCAGTTTCAGAGACAGGAATACATCCACGTTTTGTCCAGTATGGGAAGATTGACCACTGGAGAGATAAGGAATCACAACTCAGAAAACTGAATCCTTGATCATCTATATTAGTTTTCCTCTTAAGGTATCACTCATTATGTAATGTCCTATTCAGTTTTTCCACAGGATAAACTTGCAGACTAGAACCCAACATAACCTAACATCCTCATAAGACATTTTTGGTAGGACTTTCTTATTTGCATTTCTGCCTTGGGTTCAGAAGGAGGAAGGCTGCAAATGAACAAGGAAGGCACTTTGCAAGAAATACAAAGAAAGACACTGTCATAGAGCACAGTCTTGAAGGATAGCATTCTCACATTTTCCATCAGCTTATGCCTTTAGAGAAAGCTGCATCTAACATCCGTAGGAAGTGTAGCCTTCACTGGATACTATAAACAGCCATAGATATTACCTCAGTCCTTTATATTGGCTGCAGATCTTCAACAGTGCAAACTCTTTTGTTTCAAGGTCTCCTACTTTTGCCTTGATAGGACACATCTGCTGCAAAAGCATAAACAGACACTCTCTTTCCCACACCTATACAGTACATGGATGAAATGGGAAAACTTTCTCTTCAAATGAGATCCCAGAATGTGGAAAGGGGTGTGTGAATCTGCTAATACTGTAATAAATTTCCTAAGCCTGAAGTCTTATTTGTTGCCACCTCTGTATCACCTACAAAGCACCCATTATATGGCTTTAGTAATACATTGTGTTTGATCCTGATTCAAGTGCAGAGGCATTCTCTACATATAGCCAGTTCTTAAGGATATATGTCAAGCTATTTCTAGATAGACAATATACAGATGTGCTCTGCAAAAACCCTGAACTGTGTTCAAGACGTTTTGCTATCTTGAAATCCATGTCCCAATAAATCAAAGGAATTACTACCTATAATACTACAGGTAGATGGTAAGAGCATGGAACCACACTGCCTAAAGGCTGGAGGTTTTGTTAAGACAATGATTGCTAATCTCTGTGTGCTTGCACAGATTTTTTTTCTCCTTTGACCCAATGGCTCCATAAACTAACTTTAGTTACATTTGGGAGATTTTGGAGAATTACTATATAACCCCAGTATGCAGTGTTTCTCTCACTGAGATACTGGACAGTACAAACCCATTACTAGCGTAAACAATACTTCACAAAATGAGGACAGAATGATTGGCTTTTCAATAGAATCTTTACAAGATTTTACAATTATCTAACAAAATATGAAGTACAGTAATTTGTTTCAGAGCAATGTATTTGATTTTTCTCTAAGTGGAAGGAAGGAAGGGAGCGAGCGAGTGAGCGTATACATATTAATATATATTTAGTGAAAATTATCAAGTCTGCCACTCTCAACAGGGGCCATATGGCTCCCTGGGGGGCCCTGGCACTTTTGAAGGGGGCCATAGTCTAGAAACAATTTTTCACACACCACCTTATAAGGTTCATCATACTGGTGACACCTCTTCTGTTATGCTGGCAGAGCCGCACAACAAGATCCTGGCCATCATTTACTTGTTCCTCTTTAAACATTGAGCCTGGAATGATTTTGGGCCATTTATGTATTTTTAAGTGTTTTGTCAAAAACCAACCAGCCAGCCAGCCAGCCAACCAGCCAACCAACCAAACCATCCTTATAAATTAAAGTTGTCTTTCCCAACCTGGTACCTTCCATATGTGTTAAGTTACAAGTCCTATTATCCCCATCCAGCATAGTCATTGGTTGAGGTACATTTCAACAAGCAGAACATAAAGGCATGTATCATATGAAGTGCAACAGCTCTGCCTACTGAAGTCTGACCACCCACCTGGAATGTCCTCACCTCTTGCTTTTCTTCTTCTGTTCCCACCTCTTTCTTCAGGAAGACCTAGAAGGGAAAACAAGACAATAGGTGACAATACAGCTTTGCCTAACTATGGGGAACATTCCTGACCAACTGGGCAGAGACAGTTTGTGCAGACCAGCCTGCTACCAAAGAGTGGAGAAAAGAGAATTACCAAACATAAACTTCACACTTCATGCTGTGCTGCTAAATAAAACAAGATCCCTCAAGATTATACTTCAAGACTCACATTGCCAGGCTTGCCAGTAAGACATGTTTTCTTTTCAAAAGGGACTCCTCTTCTGTTGCTGCTGTACCACAAACTGACAGGCAGCCATTCTAAGTCTAACAGTTCACAGTAGTCATCTGCTGACCACATTACAACCATCCTCAATATATAAGTCTCTCTCCCTCTCTCTCTCTCTCTTTCTCTCTTATGTGTGCGTGTGTATGTGGCTAGACTGTCTACTCAGCAATGACTTCCTATGGTAGTCATTCTCACAAGTACTGAGCAATACATGTTCTTTTTTTCCATATTTTATAGAGGAGGTACAGAAAATAATAATTTCCACAAACCACCTTGCTGAAATAAAACTCAATGCTACCTTCAAGCCCAATATTTAGCACAATGGACTACATCATCTCTCACTTAGGCATCATTGGCTACCCAATGAGAAAGGAACACAACACAACTCAGATGTTATCTGATAAGAAAATAGTCCTGAATAGTGATGGGCACAAACTGCCAATCTGGTTGCATTGCTGCCAGCAGGTTCATTTATTGACTGAACAGTTGATCTGTGGTTCAGCCCCCAGCCCCCTGTCAGGCACCCCCTTGCTGGCAGTGCCTTGCTCCACCTCCTCCAAGTGTTAGTGGCACTAACAGGAGTCATATATTAAACTGAAATAACAATAAGTAAGTAAGTAAGTAAGTAAGTAAGTAAGTAAGTAAGTAAGTAAGTAAGTAAGTAAGTAAGTAAGTAAGTAAGTAAGTAAGTAAGTAAGTAAGTAAGTAAGTAAGTAAGTAAACGAACTGCGCCGAACCAACGGTTCATGCCCATCTCTAATCCTGAAGTCTAACATGTAGCAACTTCCCAGGATCCAAAGCTCCATAGACAGTCAGCACTACTTGCACCGTGTTTTTCCAGGAAGTATTAGTTTACAAATTAATAATATAAAGAAAACACAACTTCTCACCTTTACCAAATCATAACACCTACCTAACGAGAGAAGCACGAATGAGCAAACCTAGTACAGTGACAAATTGCAAAATGTAATAAGGAAGGACAATGACTTAAGTATTAGAACATTTTGTTCACTGCAATAGTTTCCTTCCATCAGAAGCAAAGAGATAAGATACCTTCATGGGATGTTAATGGTCCACAGAAGTGCTAGTTCTAGAAACAGCAGCTCTTTAAAAGGTAGAGTGGCATAGGATTAGTCGAAGGACCAGACATTTCTGTATGGGGAAACAGGAAATCAGTGCCCCTCTTCCAAACTGCTTAGTCTATTCTGACACATTCTTTGGGCGGAAATCAGTTGTAAGCCTAGCTCATTCCTAATAAATGACCAACAAGCAGAGGCAAAATGCATGTGATGAAGCTTAGCTGGATGGGGTGAAGGCTCGTATGAGAAGCTTTCCATTGGAAAGAACAAATGGGATGATGTCAACACAGTGCAGACCATCACCCAGGGAATGAAACTGCTTATCAGAGTTGGTGATTCAGAACAAAAGTGGGGAAAGAATACTTTGGCCATGAATCTCATTTTTTTTAAAAACCAAATCAAAAAAGAGCATAGTACAGTAATGATTAGTGGGAATTAGAATAAAAGGAGTGAGTTAATTTTGTGGCTTGACACACTCAAGTAAAACTTGACTGTTGGTGAAAACTGATGCTTCTATATACTTTTGCTAATGTTTAATTCTTCCTTCTCTGGACACCCAATGTCTAAATACACCTTTGCTTCTTTCGTCGCTCTTCGGATTCCAGCAGTGCCAATCTAAACACTGGGAAGTAAGTCCCACTGGGCTTACTATCAAGCACCATGAAATGAATTGCACTGCCACCCACTTGAATGGTGCAGTCTGATCAGAAAAAGTCATTGTCTTCAATGCATTAATGACACGGAGCCCCAAACCCCAGCTGGCCACCAAAAATGTGTGGCTCAGTTATGCTAGGAGAAAAGTAGCTCAAGAAAACTTGTTTTCATAAGTGTCTTTGTGTAAGAGAGTATTCTTTATTTGGAAATCACATTTTTTTGGAATTTCTTTTTTTTTTAATGGATGTACATTTAGGAAGGTGACAAAAACTTGAAATGTATTAGCCAGTCCACTGAAAGAAAGTTATTTGTATACATTTAGTGTTTACAAGTTACATGTGAATAAAAATATTCTGACCAGGAACTCGAGATACCAGCCATGAGTAACTAAGAGGAAAGATACTGCATTGTCTGGATGTGCTTTGAAGAACCTGAACCATTTTATCATCAGAGAGACATGTGGCTCAGATGCAGCAAATAAACTTCTCTGTTAACAAAAATGCCTACAGGTCTACAAGAAGAGGCTTACTGCCTCTGTCCTGTTTATGGACTAGTTGGTTGTTAGACACACTGTTACACAATATACTATATATCTAGATATAAAATAGATATATAGATATATATATGTTCATTTCCCACTACAACCCATTTGGCTTTTCCCCAGCCACAGCTTTGTAATGGGAGATAAGCTTTCAGGTGACATAAGTGCTTTATTTACATACAAACCCCCTCAATCCATCAGCTGCATGAAAACAAGGCTGTCAGCAAAAGATGATCTCATCCTTCCTGCAGAGCTGCTCAGCTTGGACTGCAGAGGCAAAGTTCCCTCCCTCCCCCACCTTCGCATCCCATCCAACAAGCACCACCGAGGAGCACATGTGAAAACAAGAACAGAGTTAGTCTTTCTGTGGCTCTGAAAAACTGAGACAGTAATGGGGGAGAAGTGATTGGCAGGAAACCCTCCATGGCTAGTGACCACAGAAATTCGGGGGGCAAATTAATCCAATTTAGGGCAGAATTTATACTGGGTCCTACAGGACTCAATGCCAAGGAAGCGCATAAAGACTTACACACTAATATTGGCCAAGATTTCAAGGTCAGTTTGGAGGACACACTTTCCCCCGGGGCCTACGAGATAGCATGATGAGGTAATGCCTTTGCCATACATTACAGAGAAACCTGACAAAATCTTGACTTTGCTAAAAAAAAAATGAGTTGAGCAGCTCGGCAGTTTATTCTATTGGGGCATGTTTCGTAATTTCTTTCACAGAATGGAATGCTAGTGTAACATTATGAAGCTGAGCTCAGTATTTATTTATTTTCTTTCTTGAATGCTTAACATTCATGTGAGGAACTTTTAAAAGAAAACAGGCAAAGAGGCAAAGCTTCGTAATGAGCAAATGGATCCCCAGATACACAGCTGAAATATTTGCTTCTATTTGCCTGACAACACCATCTATTCAGAGATTTGTCAGATTCTTTCCTACACAGAAATTAGGTAGAAAGACTCCTGGAAGTAGCTTTCAGGATCAAAACAAACCGAGGACTGGTGCAGCAGGGATGAGGAGCATCAATAAATTCGGGTGTATATTGTTGAGCAAGGAAATGAAGGTAGCTCTGTATGGGTTACAAGCACAGGTGACCCAATACGTCCCTCAAGTTTGGGTTAAAGTGTTTCCACTTAATCTGGAAACTGTCTATGATTTTAAGCACCTGCATAGATTCACAGGGAAACTCAGGGTCCGAAAAACAGAAATTTTCAATCATAGGCATCACCTCTATTTCTGCTCAAGCCCACGTACTAGTGTCACATGCTACACAAATGATTTCACCTAGTTCCAAATCCTTATCAGCATCACTGTGCATACAATGCTGACATGCCTGGGAACAAAGCTTGCTGGAAGAAGGAAACGGCTAAATGTACGGGCAAGTTTTCTTAGGCTTGTTTCACTATGTTCAGTCAGTTGCTTTCTCAATACATAATGCACATGAGATACACAAAAGGCAGATAAATAACAAATGGAGCAGGAATAGCACAGATGTTACAACTAAAAATTCCCAGGGCTTTGTCCTGGTCTGAGGAAGGGTTACACGGAAAAATCATCATTATAATAAAGAAGAACATTAGATCAATGAGGCTAAGCTTGACATGCAAGAAGAACAATTGTCACATCGATCCATGTATACAAAGACTGCGAAATAACTCCAGTGCATTACGACAGTGAAAGAAAGTTTAGTGACTGTCCTTGTCATTGCAGGAAAAAAAATGACATCATTGTTTTCTATTAACACAAAGTGCTTAAGTTGTGTAGAATTACTTCTACCAAGAAGTGAGAAACAATAATTATTTCTCACTCTCCTGCAGGCAAAAATCAAAGATGCTGTCCTCCCCCAACACAAACAAAAATCTGAATGATTAAAAAAACCCAAACCCTCTTAAGACATTTATTGGCTCCCAGAATCATGAGTTCAGCTACTTTTGAGATGTCTTCTCACATGTCTGAAGACCTGTCAAAACTCTAAAGCCAGAAAGAGAAACAAGGCCTGCCCCTATAATAGAGAGCTCGGATGTAGGATGGTAGAGCATAGCAAGGAAAGATACAATGATGGAACGGAACGCCAAACACCTTACCTTATACTGAGCCTTCCCAGTTCTGCAGTTGTTGTTGTTGCAGTTTCTATCAGAGGAGATGTGTGTAGGGCCCATGAGCAATCCTTCTCCAGCTGAACTAGATTCCCCATGAGAGCTGGACAGAGTGATCTTCTTGATGGAGCGGGAAAGGGAATTGCGGTTAATCTGATCCTCATGGGTGACCTCCTCCTCCTCAATTGGGCTGGTGCTGTTGAATCTATGGCCAGTGAGCCCTGGGGAAGCCTGAGCCAAGTACAAAGAAACACGCTTGTTGAGGTTTTGGTGCAAGTCACGGTTATCCAGAGTATCTATAGGAATTCCAGGGCAACTGTCTTCTGGGAAGTCCAGAGAGCACTTCGGCAGGGAAAGCTTGGTGCTGATTGTAAATGGCTGGACCTTCCTTGCTGTGCCGTTCGACATTGTCCCCCAAACACTGGTCCCTCAGGGTCCACAGCAGGATGGAGAAAGGGTGCTTCACAAGTCTCGGTTACCTAAACAACATTGCTGGAGCCAACAGAAAGACGAAGAACTCTTAACAGTAGACTATAAAAGCCATGCCAAAGTCACAAGAAACTAAATTCAACTTCAGTCTTTTCTTCGCAGTGAAAGAGTCCTGGAGAATTTGCTCCGCTAGGCAAATAGTGTCCCGTTTTTCTCCTTATGCAGCCACATTTGGGGATCCTCTTAGAAGTTAACCCCGTTTTGAACTGTCCCAAGGAACCCTCACTTCTGTCCTCGACCTCTCTGGGCAGCATTGGCGGTGCACAGAAGCGGTCTGCCCACGAGGACCATCAGCCAGCGAAGGAAGAGAGAGCAGAGATGTGGGTGGGAACTGAACCCTGGCCTCAACACAAAGTGAGTGCGGGTGGGGAGAAACTTGAAGCAGGAAGGGTTTGTCTGGGGGTGGATCCTGAGGAGCAAGATCAGAGGCTGGATCTTCTCCTGAAGAGCTGGAGCTGCTGATGGCTCCCTGGCCTCCCTCCTCTCCACGGACAAGCACCGCATCCTCCTCTTCACTAGCAACGAAGAGCCTGCTGCAGCAGGATGACGTCCTGCTCTCCCCCTCTCTCCCCTCAAGAGTGTACTCCACTTCCCAAAGTCTGTCAGCAGCATGTGCGAGAGCGGGTCGGCGGGCAGGCGGGCAGGCGGGCGGCTGACAGGTGCGGAGGGCGGGCGGTTCGGCTACCTACCTGCAAAGTCGGGGAAGGGGCCGCGCCTCAGTCGTTGTCCACCTTCCTGCGCAGGTTGAGGACGCAGAGGAGGCAGGTGAGGACGGCCTCGCGGGACTGCTGGGAAGTCAGGCGGGCCCCCAGGCGGCGGCACAGCGGCAGGAGGCGCTTGCGGGCCACCACCAGCAGGCGGGTCAGGAGGGTGCGCAGAAGCAGGAGCGCGAGCAGCGGGGCGGGCATGGTGCGCTCAGGGCGCCCGGCTGGCATCTGCGGGAGGGAGGGAAGGAGGCAGGGAGGGAGCGGGGGAGACACATACCGGGGTCAGAAGCGGAGGGGAGCGAGCGGCGCATCCTGCTAGGGAAGAAGGAGAGAGGGAGGGAGGGAGGGAGGGCGACCCAAGCCTCCCCTCAGTCTCTCCTTTCCCGCTTCGCAAAGTCTCCACTCTGTTCTACTCCCAGTCCCTAAATTTAGCGCAGCCCTTCAGGCGGGGAGTTCTTTCGCATGAGGTCATGCGGCTTCGGCTGACAGGGGGAAAGACGGCTTCCAAAAGCACTTGGGCGCTTTCCCTCAAGCTGGGACGGCATTCGCGCCGGGGAATCGCTCCAC